ACCCTCCCAACTCTGATCAACAAAAACTAGCCTACCGTTTACTTTACCTGAATAGGCAGTAACAAACCTGGATGAAGACACTCTAAGTTTTATTGAGGAGCTACCTCAATAAAGAGAGAGGAGAAAATCACAGCAATCTGTTTTACAGGAGCTTTGATTAKTTGCCAGCAAAATATCCCACTGTACAGACATTACACATCAGGAGCTTCCTCAAGAGCTTGTCATGAATACAGACAAAAGGCTGAAGATATTACTCTTGTAAATTGCAAGCCAAAGAACAGCAAACACCCCATCTCTTCCATGAGCTCACTCTGAATACAAAGTCAGAATTCTCCTAGCAGTTTTAATTTCCCACAGGAGAAAAAGCTACCTCTGAACTATGTACTAATGGTGTCAATAGATGTCCATGTCCTCGACACAAACTCGGTTCTGCGCTGTAAAGAGGAGATCTTGGTGATCTTCCCTGCTGGCATGCAGCCCTCCTACTGCTGCATGCCCGTGATGGCTTGCTGCACACAGGACTTTCTGTAAACATACAAATAGTGCCAGAGTCATCATTTCGTCCCACAGAAGTACCCTTGATAGAAACAATTTGTATCTGTATATTAAATGGCAACTCTCATATTTATTCATTTTCTGGTCTTATGCGATTTTCTCACTGGCAGCCATTCCAATTTGTCATGTTAAAATTTCCACCTTCATAAAGTAACGTTACACTGACAGCTTCACTTTTAAGATTCTGCAAAAGGCATTATTGGCTGAAATTTAACCCATTAATTCAAATGCAAATAGCAAAGCAGCTCAGGTGGGACTCAATTTCAGGTTTCAGAAATGCCTGCAATGAAGCAATTACAATCAAATAAAACGTGCCGATATGATTTTTTCAGGCAGTTTTATTGAGTTCAAGTTTGCTGTTTCGAAATTGAGCGCATACGGCGCCATCTTACGGTCAACGGGAGCCAGTGCGAGGCCCCACACCTCGCACCCTCTCAAAGGCAGCGCCACGTTGCTGGCACCACCAACACCACCCAGCCCTTGCTCGAGTTCCCAGTACAAACCAGGTCCCTGGTTGGCAGCGTCGTAATTTCTACAGAATCAGAACACCATAGACCATTCAGTCACTGAATTCAGCCACTCAAGTTTTTGTCAAAAGGAGAAAAAAAAACACACTTTGAAACTCTAAAAGATACAGTACTTCAGGTTACACTGTGGCTTAAGGTTACTTATATTTTACACTGACACTAATGTTCGCTAAAACCGCATCTAGGCTGAATTTTGGTGTTTAATATCTCAAAGGAGAGCCAGCTTTCCTCCTGACCATTTTAAAACAAATGCTGCTTTAGTATTTCTGAAATTCCAAGGAGCAAAGACGATCAGAAAAGGACATAATTTACCCAATGCCTGGTTCATTCAATCTCAAATGCTTTGTGGGTTTTCCTGTTGCAGGAGCATGTGCACATGCATGTAACCACCTACTTTAGCAGGCAGATATTTTGCAGAGATGTAGCACACATTTTCTGAAGACAAGAAATAGCACCCATTAGCAACAACCATATGTGGGGGCCTCACCAGTGCACAGCCAATTGCTTCATGAATTATATAAGACTGGTGACAAACAGCCTTTGTTCTAACTGTCTATGTAATACAGCAAGACAGCGAGGAAATAACTATTCTTGCCACAGCAGGGAAACAGAGCACTCGTTTTGATTTGTGGTTGCTAAGGAATATAAACAGCGACGAGTACACTGCAGAGCTCTGCCATAAGAATTCAGCAGGGAGAAGCAGCCAAACATTTGAACACTCTAATTTCTTTTTTAATTTGTTTCAATCGGATGACACAGTAATTGGCTAAGAGACCAAACAAAGCCCACTGAAATCAACTTTTTTCAACGTCACTGGGCTTTGGTCTGTGCTGTGAACTGTAACACAAGCAACCTGGAAATGGTAAGAAAGTTCCATACAGAACAGCTCAATCAATGTTATCACAGCCAGCTTCCCATAGAAGTTTGATAGCTATTCATTTGCATTTGCGTAGGAAGATATTTATATACCCAAAGGTTTTCTTTATAGGCTACTAATCTCAGGATTAATTTTTGTTTATACACCTATCCTTTACTTTTGCCCTTACTGTATTATTAGAAAGGTGATTACCTTAAGTAACAGTCCATAAAAATCTGCGGTGAAGTATGATTTTCACTGCAATATCGTGCACACACACACCAATTAAGTACCCAATACATCCTTATCTACCCAGTAAAAGCTGGGGAGGAACCCCCTCTCAGGATCACTCCACTAAAAATGGAGATTTGTACAGTGCTAGGACCTGCTGCTATGCCATCCAAATAAAAGGTAGCTCACCTTAGTTCCTCCTTTTTTTCCATGGGCCATTTTGCTCAAACACCAACCCTTCCAAGAGCAGATCTTAGAAGGTGTCAGTCAACATATACTTAAAAATTCTGGACACCTTGAAGCCATGTTAAATTTGTTGATTTAAAACATAGAGTCTTCTGGTTCTCACCTTCTTCCATCATTTTTACTGTCTGACCTCCAAGTTACCGAGGAATACCTACACATTGCAAACCATGCCCCACTTCACATACCTCAGCATTTCTTTCAGGTCGCCCTGCACTGCACCGGGACCTTCAACCTTGCACGGCGGCACAAGGACAGAGGTGGCACTCTGCCACCTGCCAAAGGCTAAAGCTGTGACTAGAAAGCGTCAGGGAGAAAGCAGGTCTCTCCCTGGAGCAGGTGGTGGTGACAGGCTGCACCAACACCGTAACACCCAGGAAAGCAGGGACACACTGCAGCAAAGCCCACCTGCCTTTACCTCATACCCATCCTGCTCAGTTGTGAAAGAGCTTTACTTTTAAATGTCCCAGATCGGATTTTGCTCTAAACCCACTTTCCCTTGAACCAGCAGAAGCCTTAGGGAAAACACAAAGTCAACTGGGTAAGAACATCATCTGGCTGAAAAATAGCTCCTTTGGGCTGCATTTTAACCTGTGTGCGCTCCTCCATCCCATGTAGCTCCAAACAAGATGCCACAGCACCTGACGGAGGGCAGGATTGCTGCCCGGCGACTTCAAAGCCCTGGGTGCAAGGACAGCCAAATCCTCAGYTATTCATCATCCCTGCCCTAACCTCAGCAAGGTCAGTAAGACAAAACTTTTACCTTTCATTGCATACCACTACCTCTTTGATATTAGTTTTTAAGATAGATTTATTGGATTTACCAAACATGTTAACTCCAGTAGGAGTTTTATCATGTAGATTTAAAAAAAAAAAAAAGGGACCTTCTCCTCTCTTTTTGCCCACCCCAAAACTTTTACCCGAGTTTCCCCCGTTTAAGCTGTCCCTGGAGGCAGAGGCGCGGGCAGTGCCCAAGGGAAGGGGCCTTTCCCCGCCCTGCTCAGGCTTCCCGCTCCCCCCAGCTCATTTCGACACGCCGGAGGGAGGCGCCGGCGCCGCAGCCGCCCGCTTGCTCGCCCTCACAAGGAGCCGCCAGGATGGGAASCCGGCGCCACCGAGCTGGCTGCGCCACGGCCGCCGCCTGCCGCCTCCGCCCTCCCCGGGGCTCGCGCCCTGCCGCGGCACCAACGGCTGCGCCCAACGGCCTCCGCCAACCCGGCAGGGGCCCGCCCCACCTCGCCCCCGACCCGCGCATGCGCAGCCGCCCGCGCTGCGCCAACGGCCGCCACCGCCGCCGGTAGGTCCGCGCGCGCCGCCGCCGCCGCTGCCGCCATGAGCGGCGCCGGCCCGCGGGACACGGAGCGGGGCCGCCCGCCCGCTCCTCCCGAGCGCCCCGCGGGTGGCACCGGCGCCGCGGGTCCCCTGACGGGCGGGCAGCGCCGGGCGCCGCCGCCGCCTCGCGCCCCCAKTGAAGGAAGCCTCGGGTTCCCCCCAAGCTTGCGGGCTCGCACGAGCTACAGAAATAAGTAGAGTGCAAGGAGCTATGCCTGGAATAGCAGAGCACGCCTTGCTGTATAGAAATACCGTTACTGCAGGCCCTCACGCGCAACCACGAGGGAAAACCCTCCTTAGGGAAGGGAAAAAARTTACTTCCMCYCCYYCCCCCCCCCCCCCMAAAAGAATCTTTATTTAGAGCAGCATTGCCGGGCAAAATTCTCAATCAACAGTAAGCACAAGCATGCTAGTGTGGCTGCTAGGGGCTTATTTGGACAAATTTTCACCATGCATTTCATTCCTGTGCTTTGCTTCTCTGGAAAAGCGTATAGCTTTTGTGGAAAAGCAAGCCTTGAAGCTTCCTGCAGGATTTTTTTTTCCTCCCCTCCATGTATTAACCTAGTCACTTTTGACACCAAGGAAAGGGGTGGGGGGGGGAGAAGGGAGAAATACAAGTCTAAAATACTAAGAAAGACATTCTTAATCATCCTGCTAAAAGCACCTGTCTTCTATCCTGACAAGTGTTGCGGCACAACTGTGGCTTGCAATAGTTGATGCATTTTAAAGGCAATATCTAATAAAGCTAAAAAATAGTTGGAGTGTCATTAAGAGAGTTGCAGTAAAAGAGAGCTAATGGCTGCTTAGGAACTGTCAGATCTCTAAATTTGCAGTCTGTTTTTAAAGCCCCACAGCTTGGAGAAGGAGAAAAAAGAGAAAAGGAGAAGGGGGAGACAGCCACGGGTTGATTTTCTTGTTTGAAAACAGCTGAAAGTGCTCTAAGAGAAACATTAAGTATACATGACTCATTAACAGACCAAATTCCAGTTCAAAGCTACACTATCTGTGCTTACCAGAAGCACTTGACCTAATTTCACTGTGTTCATGTTATTGGAAAGCTGTAGCAGAACCAGTATGAAGCAGAAACCTTTCAACCAACTCCAAAGAGAAAATAAGTTTTCAAAATTGATTTTAGCAGCAACATTCACTTTACAAAGCAGCCTATGAAGATGATGAATTGGAGGTGTAACTTGCAGAAGAGGCACATACCAGAAGCACTGAGTCTTGCTCACTTTTCCAGGTCAGTGTCCAACTAACGGCGCTTTCACCATAGATATGAATTACTCCCGGTTCATCACCTCTGTAAGTGCAGCAAGAAAAGCCTCTCCAATAAGGCTTCTAAGTGAGTACACTCYTGTTCTTTAAAATAGCCTTTGAAGAGAACCATCCTATCTTCTGGAGCATGCTAAAAACTAGAGAAGGAACATGAGAAAGCCATGCAATAAACTGATAAGTATATTTATTTACAAAGTCAGCTTAACTGCCTTGGCATATGTAAATTTGAGATGTCAAGCAGATACCARGATGAATGCAAATGAATAGCCTTGAGCCATTTCAGAAGCCCATGCGACAGAAGTAAGAATGTATAGAAGTAACATTCTATTTACCTGAAAGAAGTCTCTGCTAGTGCCTCTGTGCTGCCAGAAATGCTCCCACTCTTACAAAAAGGACTGTCATAGATGTTACTAGTTTAGGCCATATCACTCCCACATCAGCTACAGCAAGACTGAATGAAGAATCAAAGCCAATCATTTGAAATACCAATCTAAGCAGAATATCATTAAGATAAATCCTTGAAGCTTGAAGGTACAAGTTACTGAAAGTTTGTGCTAATAGAAGAGCAATCCTTACAGGTAAAACTGCTTAAAATTTATTTTATTTATTAAAACAAAGCTTCCCCCTGACAAAGGTGATTTTATTAACATCTGTTAGTCAGAGTAGAAAGTTTAAAAGCTATCTTTCTCTTCAAGTTGTAACTTAGATAAATATTAAAAAGTGAAAATAGAACAAACTACCTCTCTGGTTCATGATTTTTTACTGAACTAAAACATGTGACCATCTGTTGCAATAATCAAATTCTAATCAAAGTCTTTTCCTTTGACTCTAGCTGAACTGATGCAAAGGTCTCCTCCATCACTCATCTCACTGGCTGGAGGGGCTCCAAACCCTAACACTTTCCCATTTAAGAAGGCTACTGTGACTATTGAGCATGGAACTGCTGTGGAGATTGGGGAAGAGCTGATGAAGAGGGCTCTCCAATATTCCGCCTCTGCAGGGTACCTGCCAAGGCAGCTTACACTTGAAGATACCACCATATGATAAGATCTTTAGTATTATAATTGCTCTTTACAACAAAAAGTTTTATTTTCTTCTATATCTACATTTTAGTTGTAAGCAGAAAGTTCTGAGCAGATGAATAATTTTTAAAATTGAAGTGTGTATATATATATATATTTTTTTAATAAAGCCAGAGCATTCTGCAGCTGTATTTCAGAAGCCAGACTCCAGGATCACTAAGAAATATCACTGTTATTTAATGACACTTGAATGCTTCTACATTGCAGTACATAGTTCTGACATTGAAATATTCATTTAGATCTTATTTGGTGCAATATATTACAAAAAATGCAGTTTGTAAGTAAACTGATATATATATATATATATATATAGTATTGCCACTGTTAATACAAAAGTAATCATACATCAGTGAAGTTACTTTAGGCCTCTGAACTTCTGAGCTGACAGTATTGAGTCAGCTGTGACAGGTTGTAAAAAATATTTAGGTGCATACAGTGAGTTCAAGTCTCATACTTTAATGGAACATAGCCCAAGTCCCCAGTCAATTCAAAACTTCTGAAAGTCTTTAAGATGGTAAGACTTTGAAAGAAAACCTGCTTCCAAATCCTTTATTTGCATGCAGCTTATTGCAGCCTTAGCTGCATAGGTCACACTCGCATTAAGTCTGAAGAGATCATTCCTAGGAACGAATATTGTTCAGTCTCCATCCCCTGTTCCCTCCTTGGTGAATCATTTCTGCGTAAAACTTGCCATGATAACTGAGTATATTAATGGTAGATGGCCATCTCTGCTTTTGCATAAAATAAAGGTTAATTTTATTTTTTAGCATTTGATAGATAAAATCAGCACCTAGATATATTTGACAGTTCAAGAAACTCTTCACACTGCATGCCAAGTTTGACTGATTTAGAGGAGCAGCCTAGCCTCAGTCCATACAAGATATCAGATGCACCTTAATTTATGTTTCAGGATTCCAGAACTATTGTCTTGGCTAAGAAATTTTCAGAAGAATCTGCATAATCCCCCCACAGCCAACTACAGTCCTGAGCAAGGACAAATGGAAGTGTGCGTCACAACTGGCAGCCAGGAAGGCTTATGCAAGGTAAGATAAGAACTTATTTTTTTTAGCAGTATGTTCTTCAGTCAGGTGAGTTATACCCAGCATAAATGCCACTATAACTTGCACATTAGTTTAAATATCTCAGGGTATTATCAATACAAGATAATAGAATTCCAATCAGTCTCATCTGTCAAGGCTACATGAATGGATAAAAATCTAAGCGTTTCTCAGAATATATCATAAGATAACATCTCATATTACTCACAGGCCACTGAGTATGTTGATACATTATTGGATTTACAATAACTCAATTATAATCATGTTAGACTTCCTTACAAAGTACCCTTTTCAGTCCATTGATACTACTGCTTGGCAAGCAACTAAAGTAGTGGTGTKTTTTTGTATGATATTAGAGAGCTGTTTTCAAACTGGTATTCTCTACCTGATTATCTAGCTCCATTTAGCTTCTAAAACAGATTTATTCCACTCAGTGTTTTCATAGCAGACWGGATGGTTATTTAAATGGTTATGGAAATGCTTATGTATAATAGGGATTTATAATTCCATTAGGAAGTCAGAAACATGATGCAAGAATGGCACAATCTTCCTAAAACTTTTTTTTTTTTTTTTTCCATAGGTGTTTGAAATGCTCATTAATCCTGGGGACAATATCCTTTTGGATGCACCTACATATTCTGGGACACTAGCAGCTGTAAGTAATCTTTAAAAACAAGCTATTGCAAATGTCACATTTGAAATAAACAGCAAGTTGGTACATGGTCTGCAGGTTTATACACATTGTATTTACTGCAAAAATGTATTTGAGATTTTTTTCTCATGAAGTTCATAAAGATTATTTCATATAAGCCTCAGTATTCTATAAAAGCTATTCCTAGAACAAAAGCTCSTCTTCTTATTCCTGGTCCATTCTAGGGCTAAGATCACATTTGAGATTGGAAATAGAAAGCTATCATGCCCAAATTAGTTTTTTTTTTTTTTTTTAACAAGCAGATATTTGAGCTTGTCAGCATGCTCATTTGAAGCATTTTATGATCCAGTTCTACTGTACCCTTAACATGGAAACAGGCTTGAAACATGCAAGTGTGAGTTTTATGATGCAAGTTAATAATAACTATACAAAACCAGTCATGCTTACTTCTAAAAAGTAATTGTTATATGTAGCTGAATGTAGACTCACAATGTGTGACAATTGTAAGAAGGATTACGATATGTAACGCAACCACTATTCCAGTATTTTTCCCCATGCAGCAAAAGCTATCTCAGTGATACTGGCTGTTGAGTACATCATGCACTAAAGATTCTTCATTAGAAGTTATTTTCACACTTTTGCTACTGCAGCAACTTGCATTCTTACTTAAAAAGGCAGAACTACCTGGTGCTAATAGAACTTCCRTAGAATTTCTATAGAGAGGAGACTGTCTGCTTTTCTTAATTTTTTTTTTTTTTTAAACACATGGTGTCAACATGTCACTGTAATAACACCATCTAGTGTTATTATTATAGTGTAATAATACCATCTAGGTATCTAGTGAACAAACTCTTCACTTTTTGTCAGTAAAAAGTTGCTGGCAGCTCCACTGAACAAGAGTATAAATTGAACAAGAATATAAATTATCAGTAAGAAAGGAAAATGCAGTGAACGTGCTCTGTGTGCAGAGCATATGTCCTGGCTGAGCACAGATCAGACTCCTGAATTGCCTTTCCAATTGCAAAGCCATGTGCCCTTTCCTAAGCAAGGATAGCAACTGGTCTTCAGAGGGACCCACTTATTGAACTTAACAGAGCAAAAAGAAGCTAGGGTGATAAATTAGATAAATTATACAGAAAATTCAGGGAAACTTCCCAGCAAATCAAGATTGRGACAGCAATAATAAATTCTTGTTTGTCTGTGTTTTTTAGAAAGACTATATCACTGAAATTTTGCCATGTTAATGACAAAATGAAGATTTTAGAATTACAGGATTGTGACAGTTTTGTTCCTCCCTATCAACAGCTGAGACCTTTGGGTTGTAACATAATTAATGTGCCTAGTGACCAGCATGGCATTATTCCAAAAGCTCTGAAGGAAATTCTATCTGCATGGAGCCCAGAAGATGTAAAAAACTGCAACCACAATATTCCTAAATTCCTATACACTATTCCAAATGGTTGCAACCCAACTGGAAACTCTCTGACCACAGAGCGCAAGAAGGAGATATACGAGGTACGTAGCTGAGGCCCGACGCATCCTGTACATGGAAGCAACCAAGTCTTGTTTCAGTTGAGGGTACCTTGCACGTGTCCTTTTAGCCTGTTACTTATTCTTCCCAGTGCTTGTTTCCAGCAGAAACTCTTTTGTGACAAGTCTGCAGAGGTAGATTATGCATTAGATATTTTTTTCTTGCTGAAGTAGCCCATTCCTAGCTGGTATATTTCCCATGAGCTTCAAACRGGGCTTACTGCATGTGTCCTGCAAAGAAAGAGCACTACGTGGAAGAGACCTTCACTTATAKACCTGTCCTTGTAGTGCAGGTACTAGTTTTTCCCTTATAATTGCTTGATAACCAACTCTGGCATTTGAAAGCTTCTCTTGATATGACGTAGCATGTAGTGAATCAGCAATACATGAGAACAATATGGTCCTGGAAGTATACATGCAGAATGTGTGAATAATTGAATTTGCAACATCTTTACTCAGTAAGATYTTAATATTCATTTCTTTTTTTAGCTTGCAAGAAAATATGATTTCCTTATAATAGAAGATGATCCTTACTACTTTCTTCAGTTTGAAAAGGTATTTTTTTCAACATATCTTAGTACTTTCTTTTCCAGTCCAGAAGAGAACTAGTGTTTGAGCCATGGTGTGCCTGCATGCTTCTCCTCCATTTCCTGACAAATTAATTGTAGGCCTAACAGTCATTTCATTTCTTTGTTACTTTCAACAGTTGTCCTGTGAGGCATTTTCACTTCAGTCCTGTTAACCATTACWATTGACATTTCTCAAGCACTATATAGTAAAATATAATAGTTCCTCATTAGCCAGAAAACAACAAGGGTTGTCTGTCTCCAGAACAGAGCACATGCCCCACAGAARCAGCACTTCAAAGTAGCAGCCTCTTAATATTCCTTTCACTTTAGTTAGTCTCTTATTCCATAGCTCCTCATCTGCCATATCCTTTTTGCAGTCCTTGTCTTATGGAGACCCCAAGGGAGCTCCCTGACAGGCCATAGAAAGTAGCACTGGACAGGCAGCTTCTTTTCTGCAAGTGGATAATGATCTAGTGTTCAGCCATCTGCACATGTGCATCTACAGTTGCAAAGTCTGCTGAAGTATCTAACTTGAGTAAAAGCAGGACTTATAAGGCAGTAAAGTATTATTAGAAGCTAAAATTTAATATTTTCCATTTTGAAAAAAAGGTCTTTTTGTGGGAAGAGGCAATAAAAGATTCTTTATTTATATAACTGTCATTTTAAGAGAATAGGAGGGGAGGTGTAAAAGAAATAGAATACCTGGTAAGAGTGTTGATCCCAATAAGATCCTCAAAATTAAGTGATATCTTCTGTTTTCTTTAAGATAAAGCTAAAAGCCAGTGGGACTCATCTTTGAATCTTACAGTATCTTTCTGCATAAGCCTTAAAAAACTTGTCAGGAAATGCATTGTCTGTTCTGTTTACAGCATCATACCAAAACTTGAGCACTTGTGTACAGAGCAGTGAATAAAACACCACACAGCAAGGCTGATTTTTGTTGACTCACAGAATGTTATCATCACATCCCAGAAAGCTAATCCAAACAATCATCTGTCCATGAGTTACAGACGAACATTCAAGAGATAAATGCAATAAAATATTTACCATCATAAGAACTACTTTAAGAAATAATCATGTCTTCATAGTAAATGAAGTAATTCCATCATAATCCTCATTAGCCATTTGAATTTTACTTTTTTTATTTTTCTTCCAAGCCATGGGCTCCAACTTTCCTTTCAATGGACGTGGATGGCCGAGTTATCAGGACTGACTCTTTCTCTAAAATTCTGTCATCAGGGTAAGGCCAGTTTCAGACTGCTCAGCATTGGCTGTTGTTTCGGGCACAAGACTAACAGTATATGCAAAATGATCAGAGATRTGCCATACTTCTCAACTAATACCTACATGTTTCTGGAAAATACTTTTAGATCTGCAGTTCTGCTTCCTTTCCATGCCATTTCCTGGCAGTCATGTAACTCCAGAGTCCACTTCTCTTCTGATGTTCATTGTTAAGTAACTCTGCCCAGAGCACCCTTTCTTACAGGCACTGCATAGGCATGCTGGATTCCAGCTCTGTTCTTGGAACTTGTAGAAGCTTTGCTSCCTTGTTACTTTCCTTATCTTTTTCTACTTCTTCCTGTCTTTTTTTTCATTCCTGATAACTCTGTTAGACACTTCACAGCATTAGAAGAAAAATGATGACATCATTCTCCCCCATAGCCCATTCAGGGAGTTATGCTGACCTCTCTTGTCTTCTAGCTTTACATTTCTTTCAAGTTATCTCTGCCTGCCTGAAAAACTAAGCTAGCTGTTTTCCATTTCATGGAAATCAACACACTTGATTTTTATCTTTCATTTATTATTTTAATAGATATGAGAAAGTAATGAGTTCTACACTGCCAGCTAGTGGATTGTAACTCCTTTCCTGAGGGAATGAGGAGACAACGTGATGTATAGTTGCACTTTCAGAAGTGACCCTGCAGAAAAGGCATGATGCAATTTTATCTTTGTCAAAGACATRTCATAGAATGATAGAATCATAGAATGCCGAAGGTTGGAAGGGACCTCAGAGGTCATCAAGTCCAACCCCCCTGCTCACRCAGGGTCACCTAGAGCACGTGGCACAGGGCTGCATCCAAGCGGGTTTTAAAGATCTCCARAGAAGGAGACTCCACAACCTCTCTGGGCAGCCTGTTCCAGTGCTTTGTCACCCTCACAGTGAAGAAATGCTTCCTTRAGTTCCTGTGGAACATGAACRTATGTGGAACATATGAGCTCAYTGATTCTATTTTTCTTCAAATAAAAACACCACTCCATCTGTGAGTAAAGATGGGTCATAAGCATTGACACATGAATAAGATTAGTTAATCTGTATAAATTCTATTTATTCTGCAGTGCTAAAAAGGAGTAAGAACAAGTAAACCTGACTTGGAAGCTCCCCTCTGCTTTTTCATAAAGCATCCATTATTTTTGACTATGTGAAAAAATCTTTCTTCCCTTTGATTCATGTAGCCTTTTTAGTTTAGCCTTAGAGAAAAGCTTAAAAACATGAGATATGTCCTGAAGTCTCAGGACTAAGAGGCAAATATGAAAACACTTTTTCAAAGTTTTAATGCTAATTTCATGATTTGGAGATTCAGCTCATAAGTTGCACAAACTTTAACGTCTGAACGATCCTCATGATACTACTAAGTACTTGCATGTTTTCTGAGTAACAAGTTTACCAGCAAGTCACACAAAGAATCAGCACACTTTTTTTACAGTAATCTTTTACTCTTTCTTCTAGGTTGAGAATAGGCTTTCTGACCGGCCCGAAGCCTCTGATCGACAGAGTCATCCTGCACATCCAAGTATCCACAATGCACACCAGCACCTTCACGCAGGCAAGTCCCACCAACCCTGCACTGTCCCCAAGACAGACACTAGATCCTAGCTCATAGCAAACGATGCTGAACGGCTTTTGTAGGTGCTCTGCACCTCGGGCTGGTTTTTAGTAAGGCTGCTGTTCCTAGAGACCCTTCATGCACCTTCTTGCCCATGTGGATATCTCACTAACATACACGTCATTTGGCAATTGAGGAAAAGTCTTATTTACCACACAGTACTAATGGTGCATTTCTTTTCATTTCTTTAGATTGTGATATCACAGCTTCTTCAGCAATGGGGAGAAAAGGGTTTCTTGGAGCATATAGACAGGTAGGACCACGTCATATGCCAAATCCCATCACCTATCAGTTTGCRTGCTTGCGGCATTTTGTTATTTACAACAAGCATTCTTTGCAGTAAGCAGTCAGAGAAATGACACCACTTTGAAGATACCCGAGTAATATTAGACCAAATGGATAAGCAAGGTCGCCAGCAACTTAGAGCAYGTGAGGTGTCACTGCAGACTTACAATGTGCCAGTCCTGTCAGACAGTGACTATGCAACTCCCATTTGAAAAGGGCCCAAGGAGGCCTGGCCTTACAGCTCAGCAAGTAGAAGTTTCATCCTTCATGAAGTGCTGAGGTTAGAGAAAGAATGTGATCACCAAACCCACAAAGTGAAACCTTGTCTCACTAGCCTGGCAGGAATTTACCCTCTAATATCCCTAATGCAGTAGTTAGGGAATCTGGAGACAGGGCTCCCAGTCTCCCATTATCTCTGTCCATTGCCAATCCAGGGCTAAGATGGACCCTGCTATACTAGTGTGACCCTACAAGGCATTTTTTATATAGGGACCAACACACATTTGCATTTCATCTGCTACTCCTGAGAAGCATAGTTTCTCACAGTATTTACAGATCATTTCTAAGGAATCRCTAGAATTGCCAGGTTCTCACGTTATTGGGCAGCATGTCCTACTTCGCAGAGACCTTTTACAGGAGCATGACAAAAGCATAAGAAAAAATACTGTATTTGACTTTAACGGCCACCTTTATCCTCAACCATCTGTCTACCGCCTCTACCATAAGCATCACTATCTGAAAAAAAAAAAAAAAAAAAAAAAAAAAAAAAACAACAGACACCAGCCTTGGCTTGGTTTGTTTTAGGTATCACAGTATACACACACACACACACACACACACACAATTAAAAAAAAAACATGAGTAGATGTTGCAGAGGAGCTCAGATGACACATTAGCTCATCTTTAAGCTATTAAAGAAATACACCCTCTGTGAACCTCTTAGCCTACCTTATGTTTCTTGCAGGCAAGCATCGCTACTCTCTAGTCAAGGGAACTTTCTTCCTACTGAGCATAAGGCAAAGAGTGGATATGGGCCTAGCTCCAACCCTTTATAACCTTTAGGTACCTTTGCCATGTGTCTTAGTGATTAAACTCAACAGGTAACTAAAGCCAGGTGATTTCAATGATGGCCAAGGGTGGTTTGTTGGCCCATGCTTCAGAGTAAGATTTAGTGCAATGTTTAGCGCATTGACATTCCTGTAAAAGTCCTGCCTCTCTGGGACTTAGGATTTCATTCCATCATGAAAATAAAAGGACACCAGCAACGGCGAAAAAAAAAATCACAAAAGAATTTGTGGTGTGGTGAAACCATGAAAATGTTTTACCATTTCATTCAGATTGTAGTATATTAGACTATATTAGCTTTTGATGGTGTTAGCATCAGAGAATGTTAAAAAAAAAATAGGACACTTGTAACTGTGAAATTAATCAAACTGCTAAATATGGGAGCTCTATAGAGAACACTTTTGCATGAAATAGAGTTATCAAGTCCACCCCAGGCACTTCTTCTGAACCTTCTGCACTTTTCTTGACACTGCAGAATCAAAGCTGTATCCATTTATGTCAACACAAGTAGTCACCGCACAAGATTTGCTCCTGTTTTCACTTGTGGTTATGCTCCTTTCTTTCTGCCCGTATGACATCAAATTATTAGGAAGTTTTGCTTCAGTTGTGAGGGAGATAGCTTCAACGGTTTAGAACAGAGGAAGCTGTCAGATGGTCATGACAAGTTTATCAAATGATTTGTTTACTTTGTGAAATACCTTTTCCACATACAGCTATTACACAATTTCAGGCCAARTGCATAAATACTGCGCATGTGCTTTTGCACACCTTTAAGTCCTTCGTCTTTTTCTGTATGCCTGTTCTGCTTTTTATGTTCTGATAGCAAGGCTTGCATCCAACAGACAGAAAGAATAAAAAGTAGAGCAAGTGTGCTGCCCATTGCATGTGGAAGGCCTGGRAAAACAGGTGCAAAAGCAACTCCTGCCTCTAATTGATCCCTGTTTCACTGGAGACATAGTGAAGCACTCAGGATTTACAGGAGACATATAAAGTTTCATATACCCAATAAATTGTACTGTGCCCATCTTGGATATGCTCTGCTTTCAACTGCATGTTTACCTTGGTTATTCAAGTACAAAAGTTTTGCTGCTGCCTTTGGAAACAGGGGAAGCCTCTAGTGCTATGGGACTGTGACTTTGAATATTTGCCTTCAGGGTGGTGGAGTTCTACAGAACCCAGCGGGATGCCATGCTCAGTGCTGCTGACAAATGGCTAAAAGGTCAGTGTGGGCAACACAGCTAATTCCTTAGKTTTTTTTCTAGCTGTTTATCATCTTCACATTCAAGAAAAAAATCACTGTAAATTTCATCTCCTGACTGCTGTGATAGCTAGACACTATAAACAAACCTATGGCATTAAATATTCAGCTTAGGACAAATTATTTAGTGGCATTGTTTTCATGCTTACCTGAAACAGAACCAGGAGAGAACGATGAGAAAAAGTCTGTTACATTACTGTGTAAAGCAGTTTCACAGAAATTGCTTCAGAGCAATTTAACAGAATATATAAATGATATGTATAATAGCAATGATAAGCTTTTTTTTTTTTTTTTTTTTTTTTGTCATAAATTAATTTCAGATGTCCCCATTCATGGTTAATTGCCGAGCACTGAAAGAATATCATCAACAGTTGTTGGTGCCCCTCCTTTTAGTTAGTCTAAGGTGGAATCAACAATAACTATGAACTGACCGACTGAGCTAGGGGTATTTGTGTATCACCCATCCTTTAATGTACTTAGTTTTGCTAATTCCAGATTTTTATGTAAGAAATATTTCATCTTTTTCTCCATGATTCTAAGTGACTAGGGATTTAGGCTCTCTTGCCTCAGTTCCCCAAGAATGAAAAGAATATAATAGCACTGGGTTTTCTTAAGGTGAATTGTGAGAATWTATTGTGAGATTATTTGAGCAACAAATTTACAAGCTCACTGAATCTATGATACACTGATTACAGATGGGGCGGGAGGATTTTTTTCTTGATTCTGCTGTTTTCTCTGTCCMTAGGCTTGGCAGAATGGTATCCTCCTGCTGCAGGAATGTTCTTATGGATCAAAATAAAGGGAATTTCTGATACACAGCAGCTGATCATGGAAAAGGCTTTGCAGAAAGAAGTATGAACTATGACTTAATGGCTTCTGATGTTAAAATGGAATGAGGAAAAATTTTCTAGCTCTGTGCGCATACATGTGCTTTTATGAAAAAGAGGGAGCTTGCTGTGCATAATCACTAAGTCTGCCAGTTTTGTTTCAGACATTGCCACACAGTGTAGTGACTCACTAATGAAATACTTTCATGCCTGTATTCAAATGTTAATATTTGCTTAAGTTAATCCCATTATATATARTATATAGTATAATATATATGATTTACACACACACAACCAATGCAGGCTGTCCACTGTATCTCTTCAGTAGGATAAATTAAATGTGATTTTATTTTCACAGTTTGTAATAGTCAACCCTGTCTACTGCAAAAACTACATCACCCTTCAGAGGAGCATTGTGGTGATAAGCCAGACCTGTGAGCTATCCTGTGGTTTTTACAGACTCCTTTAGTTTTGTTATGAGAAGTCTTGATTCCAGTCTTTATATTTTGAGCTTCTCTTTTTGAGTAGAGAAAATATTCTAAAAAAAAATCTGCCAGCGATAAGTCTTCTCAGATTTAATTTAACATTGTACAAAGGAATGCTTATAGCTGAATGATTAATCAATTTTTCTCAGGTGTTGCTGGTTCCCGGCGGAGCATTCAATATTGATATTTCAGAGCCTAGTGCTTACGTCCGAGCCTCCTTCTCTCTGTCTTCCCCAGCCCAGATGGATCAAGTAAGTGAGATGGGTATTTTCTGCATCCTTCTGAAGAACAGTTTCTCACACAACAATGCTCCCATATTTTCACTTACTTGTCATTATGTKATTTTAGTCTGTTAGCGTACTTGTTCTGGTAATCTTGGGCAATTACACAGCGCTCATGAAGCAATATCAGCTGCTGCTTAGGCAAGATACTCATATTCAATAGACCTGGAAGGAACCACGTTTTTGGGACCCCATAATGTTTTGTGTCCCATCCTTTTTGATTTTCTGACACTTAATCATGACAGCCATTATTCCAAACACTTCACTGAAATCGGAGGAATGTTGCTACTTGCTTTAGCATTAGCAGGAACAGATAGCCTGTATCTTTCTTTTCCAAACTTTCCATTCCTCAAATAAGAAAACTTGCATTTCTTTTTGTGTGTGTSTTGCCAGTCCATATTAAAAAGGAATACTGTTTTTTTCCTTTATAGAAGACAGGTAGGCCCCATATTTCATTACTTGGGAACTAATCTCTTTGTTTGGGGAATGTTTGGCTATTATTTGGCTATATCAGTAACTATGATACGGTTATTTGTGCAGATAGAGTACCCCTTTGATTCAGACTCTTCAAACTGTTCACTAYTTTTAGCTGTACTTTCCGTTGTGAAGGTTTGTAACAGATGTGTGTTTCTGTTTCCTATTTCTTCTATAATTACTGAAATAAATTCCTAACTATACTATTGACATYCAAACTGTATCATGCTGGAATGGTGCTTTTTTATGTTCCCTCCCTCAACTATTCGGCCTTTCACCATTGCAAATTCCAGCCCTTTATATTGATGTRTAGTTATAAGAAATACTCTTCCAGAGCACATTAATTGTATTAAAAATACAGTTCTTTCGTTGCCTCTGAACTCTGGATAACCTCTGAATATCAACATATGTTGATGTTCTCTTTCAGAAAACTCTACTTTTTTGTTTTTATTAGAAGAGTAGAAGTTCAGTCTATCCACACTATGATTAAAAGCCCATACACATTGTGAAAAACAACAAAGCAAAACAGCAAATATCAGCAGAATTTAAAATACTGGGTTCATCTATGTTTAGGGTCGTTTTAGTAGTTTTAAAGATTAAGTATATTGACTATTTAAGTAATGCTGTAACATAAATGGGAACCATCTTTGTGTCATTGCAGGCTTTCAAGAGACTGGCTGACCTTATAAAAGAAGCTATATGAAAAGGCACTTTGAGCAATCCACATCATTTCCAGAAAACATTTAATTAATAACATCAGATTTCATTAGAACACTGAAAAGCCAGCACGATGCAGTGGATGTTCCCTTAGGTGGTACCAGTGGTTGGTTTCCAAACTTACACAATCAGYATCCCAAAAAGGTTTGTAGAGAATGTAGGCATGGATATTTTAATAATTACTATATACAACTTTTCATGACAGTGATACTATTAAAAAAAAAMAACCCTAGAGCACGTTCAAGATGTCAGTGTGAGTACTGAATATTTTAAGAACCATGCAGTGAGAAATAGCCAACATTGAGGTGTGTGTTCCACAGTTTATTTTTTGAAAACATCTTTCAGATTATTTTGAGAAAATCTTGAGTGAATTTCAAAAAAAATCAAAATTTTAACATGAGGTTTTACAAAGTCTTACAACATTTTACAAACATTTCCTCTTTTTAAATTGTGTGTGTAGGAAAATCCRATTTTGTTCTGATCTGCTACGAATCAGCACGTACAGTCATTTTTAATTGTGAATGGGAAGATATTTTGAATTCACTCAATGTACAGAAGTAGTTTCTTTTCACTTTGGGATCAGTACATTTCTTTTTATGAAGAAAGGACACTACTTTTTGTTGCTGACGAGGGTCGGCAAGCCTTGTTCGCTAGCCGGACTGACCTGGGGTTGTCCGCGCCCCAGGGCCCTAGAGCACAGACACCACTATGGGGGATGCGGCAAAATGGCGATTATTGCGCAGTTCAGTCTGCCTATATACTCCAGCTGAATGCAGAAACTCACCTACTGCCCAATCGGGAGACTAATTTCWAMTTTTCGCCTTGTATGGCATGGGGTTATCAGTAAACTGCATAAATTAATTAYGCTCCTAACTCCCGTGACATCGCGAGATCTTCCGAGCGCCATGCCCTAAGCTCTATGCCCTATGCTATACTATATCATCTACTTTCGCTAAGCTCTCTRMCTTATTAAGCCCTAAAAACACAAAAACTCCTACAACTTTTATATTAGCTACATTCAAGAAATGTTATGAATTGATCTCAAGTCTTTAATTAAGCTAAGAGAAATCTCTTAGGACCACAGTTAGAATCATTTTATTTGGCTGTAAGTTGTGGCACATTTATTTAAATGTACACATATTTTCATTAAGAACGAAAAACTATTTGCTTTATTTTTTTGACAGGAGTTTGCATTACTAAATTTATTCCAATTCCAAAGTTTTAAAAATATTCAAAAGCAAAATGTTCTTTCCAGTTAATCCATGGTTTTGTTTGAATTGATCTTTTGGTGTGTCTTGGGCTTTTGTTTTGTTTCCTGTTTTGGTCAGAAAAGAGGGTAGTCAGGTACATAGACAGCTGTACCTGAGGTCATCTGAGMCAATTTTTTTTTAATCCTAAATGCTATATTCCTCTGGCACCTTATGCTGCAGTTGTTTTTGTGTGTATGGCACTTCTCCTACTGCCTTTTTGGCCTCTGGGTTTGAAGATCTGAAGATCAGTATTTAGTTTTACTAAAGTTTACTTTAGTTTTACTAACTTTGTAAGGTCAAGCTGACGTAAGGACATTAAAAATCTGAACCTGATCCAGCAAAATTAGGCTGTGGTTACAGTTAAAATTATTTGACCAAAGGTTCCTTGCAATTTGTATGGGTTTTGCAGCTTATTTCCTAGTTTTTAAAAGGTTTTCTGGTTCATGGCTTCTATTTCAGCCTGTGAATAATTATTCTGTGCCTTTGTTAGGAAACCTCTGGAATGCAAAGGCATGTGTATGTGCTAGCAGAACTGCTTGCTGCTCTCTTAGCTCAGCATTCCCTTTTTTAGAATGGGAAGCCTGAGTAACTGAACAGAAGATGTAGCGCACTATCGAATGTACAAAGCAAGGAAAAAATAAAATAAAAAATAATGTTCCAAACTCTAAGCCCTCGTATTTATTGTCCCAAGCAGCAGACACTTGCCTCAAGCACAGAGCTYTCAGCAGGCGCTGCGGGGCAGGACACGGCCAGGGGCAGGGCTCTGGCAGCCCCTTGTCCCGCTCCTTCCCTTCCCTTCTCCAGCAGCGCCCGCGCGCCGAGCACGGCACTCGCACCATCTGTCCCAGGGTCCTTCAGAAAAAGAGACCTGACAGTTTTTACACTTTGCGATGGTGCCGAAGGAGTCCAGACTGCTCAGGCTGTCCGCACACCGATGCTTAGCAGCTAATTTGCTGCTTTTCAAACTTGTTTCTTAATTGTACACAGTAATTTTGAAAGCTCTGATTTTGCTATTATCAGTAAAAACRTGAATTTTCATTTCATGCTCAATTCAGAAAAAAAAGCACACAACAGAATGAGTTGACATAATTGTTTAATTAAAATAATATAGTTCTTATGTTTTACAGAGGAATAAATGTATTGTACAAGACTGATTACTGTTCTTGTGCAAATACTGTCATCATTGTTAAACCAGACTTAGAAAAATGCAATCAAAATATCATCATTAAGCAAGCTTTATGATGGTGATGTGTTAAATAATATACTTCTGTTGAATAATACACTTAGCTTTCTAGCATCTAAATGTTAATTTAGCTGAATGTAAGCAAAATGCAGTTCCACTTGCTGCACATTAGATCCTCTTACAATCTGGTAATTTAATTTAGAGAGAGTTGGATTTTTTTTTCTCTGACTATTGAGAAACATCAGAAATGAAATTAATTTCCTGAACAATACCAATTGAACAATGACAGCAGAATCTTACACTCTACCTACTCTTTCCCTGAATGTCTTAAAATGCAGTTTTAGTCACCTGGGACAGACTGTTCATTGAAATTAAACTTTGCTGCAGAAATCTGTCTGGAGACAAAAGGAAAATGCCAAACAACAGGGCCTGGTAGATAAGACATGATGGACAGAGAGCCATTTTCCCTTCTTTTTGTGAGCTTTCCCAAACCAAAAAGCCACTTTCATTCATAGCCACGTGATGCAAGCRGCACAATCTCCATGTGGGGAAGAGAGGGAGGAAAGGAGAGGTCGCCCGGCAGTGGCTCTTCCAGCCCTACCTTCGTTGTGGCACCGACCGCTGCAGAAGTGTTTCCAGCAGCAAGTGCTACAGTGAGCAGAAATGAGTCCAGAGACTCATTTCTGAGTGCCCAGGACTTTATTCTGTAATAACTGCTGTGTGAAACCTTGTATTTGAAAAGTTGTGGTTTACAGACGTGCGATATTTTCAATCTTGCCATTGAAATCTGGATCCTTCACCCTGGAGGATAAATATCAGAACTGCTCTGAACTATGAACACTCATTTTCCAATATCTGTGTGGCTACATAAAGCTCACATATTACTATGGAAGTAGGATAAAGTTCTTGTTGATTCTCTTTCAGAATTAATAGCCCAGAAGTTCGTTGACAAATCTGACTGATGCCAGAAGATCCCATTAACTGTACAGAATTCGGAGAATACTTTCAAAATTATAATGTTTTATATATATATATATATATTTTAATGTACATTGTCAGACTTTGATATTGCAAATGAATGTGCCCTGATGTGACCTGGTGATGTGACCTGGAAAATATTAACGTGAAGATATTTCCATTTCTTGACTTATGTATAACTTTGTACAATATCTTTCTCTACGTTTGACTAGTGCTGAACTTTGAAGGCAAAAGTTTTATCAGGAGCTGTGTGCACTTTCCCCCCAGCCAAATCACTCATTAACAGAGGCAGAATACCTGGCCCAGGAGTTCAGCTCCCACATTTGGGGTGCTGAAGCTTTTAACCAGGCCCAGCTTGGTACACCAGCCCTAAAATCCCTGCCATCCAGCTGCATCAGCAGACGGGAAAGGCCGGGTTCTCCACGTGCRTCGCACCTGGCGCAGAGCCTGCGGGGCCCCACGCTGCAGCAAGAAAACCAAAGGGGACATGTCCTGGAACAAGGGTGGGCAACAGCCCTGGAGGAAGGAGCGTCTCTCTCCTGGAAAAGAGAACTCCGATTGCCTCAAATCTGAGTCTATAAAAACTAGTTGTATTTTTTTGCAGAAAGTAAAAGGCTTCCGTGTGTGTGTGTGTGTGTGTGTGTGTGTGTGTGTGTGTGTGCGCGCGCATGCACACACATGGTTCTGGCAAGCTCAACAGCAGAGGACTGGCAAGATTAACATAAACCAATTTACTGAACCAGAGCATAACTCTGAAAATCCTGATTCTGCATGTTGCAGATGTTAGAAAACATAGCAATCTCTTCAGCCTGTAGCCATTTCTCAATTTCCCCAGTGACTGCGTATACAGAGAGCAATAAAACAAAAACAGCCCCAGGAGCAATAAGCTTGAATAGCCTTGGCTCTTATTCCACTGTCACTGGTGATGCTACCTCCTCCCCATCAGTGTGCTAAGGGAATAGAGAAGGGAAAAAAAAAAAAAAAACCCTTAGAAAAACAGTTTCTTATCAGAAAGTTTCCTTTTTGCTTTGCAAGATTTGCATTTTCTTAGAAAAGACAATGACCTGTATTATTTTCTCAGTATGAATAGTTAAGTATTTGCTTGTATTTTTTAGTATTCCTGTCACGAACAGTTTCTTTCACCAGGAGCAATATATTTTCCATCTGTCCCAGTTTACAGATGTAAACAGTCAGACATATTGAAAGAATGCTTTGTTTTTARTACTTTTCTGGCAGATAGAGGCCATCCAGGCTGTCATTCACCAGTGTTAGAATTTGAGCTCACAAAACCCTTTTTTGCAAGACTGAAACTCTTTGTTTTTAATTGCATGCACATAAACTCAAGAGCTGCTTAAACTCGTTGGTGTTTACGTGTAGAAAATACAACTGCTGGCTGTGGCTGTGCTGCGAGCGCGGCTGCTGAGCCTGTCCGGCTGCCTCGGCAGCTCTGCTGCTTCCTACATCCCATACAGTGTCCTGGCCATGGGAATGACCATCCTCTACTCTTTATTATTCCTTGTTGCCGGCGTGTCTTAATGCCAGAGTACCATGGGCTGCAAGCCTGCAGCTACACAGCAGCAATCAGCAGAGGAGCAGCACTCCATCAAATGGGTTTAATAGCATCTTCCTTCTTGTGACGGGACAAGCAAGCCATTTGCCTTCTGCAGTGTTCGAGGCCGATTTTGACAGTGGAAATTTCTAGTGGAATCAGGTGTTATTCTTTTTTTTTTCTTTAGTTCTTCTATGAGTGACTACAGAGTGACCTGTTACTGGT